CCCTCTCCCTCTCCCTCTCTCTCCACCAGGACCCCGCCGTCCTCATTTCCTGCGGACCACTCGAACCGTCCGCCCCTCCCACCGCCTCGCCACTCGAACCGTCCGGCCGCCACCACGGCCCCCCACTCCTCTTCCTCGTTTTATTAACTATTCCGTCGCTTATGGAAATAATGCAATTCAGCCGACCCCTCCCTCTCCCCGCTCTCTTTCCCCCACCTGACCATGTGACCCCTGCCGTGACCCCCGCCCCGCGGTACTGGCTAAGCAGCACGGGGGACCACTCCAGCGCCCCCCCCCCCTCCTCCTTTCAACCCCCGACCTGGCGGCGCGACCGCGCGCAGCTCACGCGAAGGACGCGAAAAAGCTCTGCAATAACGGGGGATACTTAAATCACCGAAAATAGTTATTGCGTTGCCTTAAGCGCGAACAGGAGGGCATAGATCATCCCTGCGCGCAAGTGCCGTTGAAAGCTCTTCCCCCCGCCACCAGCCGCGGCCCCGCCCGGTCCGACCCTGGACCGACCCCGGCCAGGCGCGCGGCGGGACCAGGCGGGACGGACGCACGACCCCTGAGGGTGAATAATGCACCGGTTGTTTATTAGCAGCACTATCTGTCCGATGGGTGTCACCCCCGCAGCCGGTGCGCGCTCGCTCTCTCTCTCTCGCTCGCTCGCCAACGCTCACACACACGCACGTACACACACACACACATTCTCATACTCAACTCACACTCACTCCGCTCTGGTGTATCGTCGATACCCGGGCGCCCTCCTCCATATACCCTCTCTCGCCTCGACCGTTAATCCAAATCCGATCGCCCCTCCACCTCCATATTCCGCGCGTATTCGGTATTTGCCCATATATCCCCTCCGGAATACCATTCCGCACCCCTCCTTCCCCCAAAGCACTTTTCGCACGCCCCCTCCTACTCCCCTCAATGTTCTTTGGTGCTGGCGACGACAAGCACTCAATAGTAATTGTCATGATCCCTGTTGTTGCCCTATTATTCTTCTTAGTTTTCTTGAAGAAAAATGTCAGGATCTTGCTTTTGCGCGGAAAAAGTTGATGACTTTTATTTATGGGGCGGGGTACTTCCCTATCCTTCATACGTCTTGTGTTCGCCCTCTCTGTGAGTCTCACACACGCACACACACACGCACACACACTCGTGCGCGTGGTGCAGTCTGCACCGCTCGCTCGAGTTTCGTTCGTCGTGGAAGCAAAGCGGTAAAGTAAAGGTTGAAATGAAATATCACCCAAGTTTATTCTGGACAGCTTTTGCTGATCTCTCTCTCTCTCTTCTCTCTCTCTCTCTCTCTCTCTCTCTCTCTCTCTCTCTCTCGTCTGGTGCTCCGCTGTGCAAGCTAATCGATAAGCCCTCCACGAACACGCACTGCGTCCCCATCGGTCCCGCAAATCTCACTCTTGCTCCTGTCCCGTCTGGTTGCCCGTATCAAAAAGAAGGTCGACGTCTACGATTTCAGAGGTTGCACTCTCTTAAAGTCGTATTGGCCTTGTAGCGACCCTGTGCAATATCTGGGCGCTACCAGACAGCGCTTTCTTGGCCCGGATCACATTTGAAGTTGGAGACTTGAAAAATAGGGTATTTTTGCGCATGTGGCGATGTCAGTTAGGCCACCCGCATTACGCGCCTGTGTAGCTTTTGGCCTAGCTGACAGGCGTTTTCGAAATAATTTGAATTTTCACCACAATCGCGTCAGCGCTACCCGGCGTTTTTGACTGTTTTACTCTTAGTATGGGGCACCCCTGATGTCCGGTAAATAAAAACATCCGAAACTGACAATTTGTGCCGTCACACGTAACATGGGCTGTCGCTACACTTAAGGGAGCGTGGGGTCCCATGAGCCTGGGGGTCCCATGAGCCTGGCCCGATATCTCAGCATTAGTAAATCAGAGTCACATATCAAAACTGCTGTTAAGTTGTCGGTCAGGTGGTTGTTCGAAACCGAACCTGGGCTTACCACTATGAGCGATTCAACAGCTGTGAGTGGCGGTCAAACTTTTTAATAGCGATTTTCAGGCAAAAGTAACTTATGACTTTTCACTTTGACCTTTTGTTTTATACTTTAAACGTCCACT